GAAGTATATTATTGGTGTTTAGAATAAATAGTATAACTTAATTATTTCACTCTATATCATTCGTCGTAAATAAAAAAAAAAATGATTTATATCGTACGACTTTTATTCCACCTCAGTTATACGATCCTCATAACATATGATCTGTCGCTTATCTCGCGGTAGGATAGGTCAGTGAATAAGATGAGGCACAGGAATAATAATTCAAATTATTTTTATTTAATATGAATAAGTTTATTTTAATAAAACTTTTGAAATTGTTTATTTAAGTGGTCCGCTACAACGGTGTAACTTGACTCGCGATAAGTCGGTACAATCGACGCGTTCTCTTATATTACTACAGCGGGATGATGATAAAAAAACTTACATTTTAAATATAAAATTTTTTATTTCAATATTCGCATACAAACATTTCCGACATTTCGTCGGCATCGACACAACACATCAACTGTATGATGCCTAAGTACTCGGCTTGCGTCTTACATTTTGGTAACAATTTTTCGACGCGATCTTGACCATACGTCTGATACAATTGTCGAATATACTTCTCCGGAAGCGGTAGATCGCTCAATAGGTATCTGCTTGCAACGTTCTGGTTTATGACCTTTCTGGCGAGTTCGACGAGACTCTTCGGCTGTCGCATCGTGGTGATCCTGAAACATTTTACAATACACCTAAATATCTACTCGCTGAATATTTCTCACTTTCTATTTTTAGAGATATTTTTTTTACCTAATTCGCACAGAGTGCAATCTTTAACGTATGGCGCGGGTCCGTCGATGTGGTCGCGCTGCCACGGCTGGTTGTAGTGCAACGAGCACCGACGGTAACCCTGCACTTCCGGGTCCACTCTTACGTGTTCCGGAAGTTTCTCCCACACTTGGTCTACGAACCGAGCAAACTTGCTTAATAAAATCACCTTCGGCACAAATTCTAACTCCACTGCTGTTAAATTGAGAATATCGCGTTCATCCGAGAGTGCGATGAACATTTCGACTGTTATACCACTCGTTCTTCGCGGGCCATATATACCCTTATTGTATAAACATTGCGATGATGCATTCCGACAACATGGCGCTCTACTTTAATGCGTAGAAAAAAAACCAAAGGATCTAAACAGTTCTCGGAATCCTTTAACAATGATACATTCCGACAACATGGCGCTCTACTTTGATGCGTAGAACAAAAAACCAAAGGATGTAAACAGTTCTCGGAATCCCTATCTCTTCCAGGAATCCTTATCTCTCGATGACTCATGTTTGTATTAACAATCCTTATCTTATCTCTTCCGGGAATCTCGGAAATCCCCTACTTCCAGGAATTATTGTTATCTGATACCCCCCACCACTCCTAAATTACCCCCTCTCCTCCAAAACGATGACGTCATTACCCCCTCCACTGTTATCTGATACCCCTCTTCCCCTCTTCACCCGCACCCCCCTCATTGCCCCATGGGTTAGAACCGGCATAGCATAACTACTGACGAGTTCGTAATTTTTCGATTCACCACCGTGACAAAGTCGCACCGTCGCACAGTGAGGCGAATACCTCTTTTCGCGGTCATTGACGTATAGTTTTAATATTTTTCAATTAAAAAACTTGAAATTTGGCATATATTAACTA